TAACAGTGTCACACTAGGTAAATTATTTAACTTCATGCTCAACTTTTTTTTTTCTGGAAAGTGTGGCTACTGCTACCTTCTCACACAGGTTGATCAATTAAAGCGATTAATAAATACTCAATAAACATTAATTCTCAGGGCCAGCAGATGACAGTGGTTATATTGCTGGATTCTCAAATGACCAGCCGCAGTTCAAGTCCTGGACCTGGTGGCTTCAAAATCACACCGGGAACATGCATGTGTGTGTCCAAGATCCTGGGAGGAGAATGGAAGAGAACGGATTATGGCATGACCATCCCCTCAGGGGGTGATTTTTCACTTTCCTTTTCACTGTCTCTGTCTCTGTCTCTGTCTCTCTCTCTCTCTCTCTCTCTCTCTGGCAAGTGCACAGACCCTAAGGCAAAAACCTTTAAAAATATTAATTCTCTTACCTCCTCTCCAGAGAAAAAGAAACTTAGTAAGAAAAAAAAGTCTGTGCAAATGATCTGCTTTCTATTATATACTATTTTCCTGCTAAAGAAGTATATGGCATCTCTAGAAAGAAGGAAAATGGGTACTAGCCATTTCTCATCTCTCAGAATCCTTTGTTTAAAGACAAGGTCCTGCTCTGTTGTGATCCTCTTACCTCAGCCTCTCAGATGGAACCACAGACACAGGCCACCATAATTGGCTCTTTTTCTGACAGGGTCTTGCTGTGTTGCCTAGACCAGCTTTGAGTTCACAGTCTTCCTATCCCAGCCTCCCAGGTTACATGGATTTCAGACTCAGGGCCACAATGCCTGGCATTTACGTTGGGCCAGAAATCAAATTCAGTTATGGCCCCAGCTTGAGGAGCACAGTGTCTCACGAGCATGCATCACTACAAGGGGGTCTCAGAATCTCTCATGCGGTACCCTCGGTATATTGCCCTGTGTACATAATGTAGCTACTCTACCTCTCCAGTGATAATTCTGAGTAGGGGTATCACCTACTATACACTCTGCATATCCATTTGCAGATTGTTTATATCCAGGCAGGTTTCATGTCAATTTGATTTGCTTTGAGGCTGTTGCTACTAGGTTTGTGTTTTTCTAGAAAAAGCGGTGAGAAATTTCTGTCTCCAACCTTCCCAAATCACCACTTTATACACACAGACACACACACACACACACACACACACACACATATTCATACACCACTGGATCAAGTGACAATTTTACCCTAAGGACTTGTGTTCACATACGGCAGAACCAATGATAATGAATTCTTAGAGCATCTTCCCCAATTCTCCACAACCATGTCAACCCTGGTGAAAGAGTCAGCCCAGTCTACATCGTATGAGTGCCTAATGTATCAGATATCATAAGAGGAATGTTTTTAAATATTGAAGTATTCAGGGTGCTAAGCTTTGAAATGCTGGAGGGGGAGAGAAATACTAGAGAGTGTCTGTGACCAACACACAACCGAAGTATGCTACCCAAGAGTGAGAGGCCATAGGCCTGACGGACAATCATCTACTTTTAATTTCTCCAAGTAAGGGCAACATAATCTATGAAAAGAGCAGAAAGCACCTACAAACCATTAGAGGCAGCCACACTTGAAAAGGGGGAGGAAATTCGAACAGCAAAGTAAACTAAAAGAGCAGTAAAAAAGATGAAAGTCAGTATATTAAAAGGTTAAAACAAAAGAAAAAAAGTTCAGTGGCATCAAACAAAACAAAGAGTTCAAGAAAGAGAAGCTGTAAAAAGTGATTTGACTAGGAGGAAGTGAGAAGTGGTTTCTGAGGTTAAGTGGTTTCTGACTGGGCAGGTGGTTTCTATTATATAAATGGTGGCTCATATAGAATGAGATATTTAGATCAACAGCTTATTTCACACAGAACATTAAAGAGCCATTATAACGAGACTCACTCACTCATTCATTTATTCTATTAGCACTTACTGTGCTCTTACAAGTGCCTAACTCTACTAAGCTCCATGGGGCAGGGATACCTAATAGAAAAGTCATAATGAAGTCATAATGGCTTCTCTCTCACAAGCAATCTGGGCAAAGTTTTAAAATGATGAATTAAAAATGAAAGTCTCATTCTCCTGTAGCTGTTTTATATATTTCAGTTTTATATTCTTTTCTGATATGTTAGCCTTTGGTTTTCTTTTAATTAGAAAAATTTGAGTTGCCACATGACAAAGTGTCAACCTTAGAAGGGCAGCAAACTTAAGAAAAAAATCAAATTTCAAGTATCTTATCTATGCTGTGAGGCAGGAGAAAAGCAGAAATAGTATTAAGATCCTGAGAGTTTTGGGGTTTTTTTCCTACAAACAGAAACAAAAGCCCACAGAGGGGATATAGCACAGCACTAACATGACTCTCAGGAGGCTGGTGCACATGGGAAGGTTCCAGGTTAGCATCTGGAGTCCTCCCCAAACATGCTGGACATATGTGTGTCTATGATCTGGGGCCAGCTGAGGTGGTCGGAGGGAATCACAGCATGAAGGACCCTATTGGGGGTTCCTCTCCATCTCACTCATGAAAAAAATCATTATTTTTTAAAATTTTTATTTATTCATTAATTTTTTTTTAATTTGACCAGAGAGAGACAGAGAGAGAGAGAGAGTAAGGTAAAGTGAGAAAGCAAGCCACCAGGTCCGGGACTTGAACCATGGTCAGCCATGTGGGAGTGTCCAGTGCCTTAAGCACCATGCCACCTGCTGGTCCCCCAAAATAATTATTTTTTTAAAAAGCCCAATTTTTTTTCTAGAAAGTCAAAAAAAACCTAAGTCTCCTAAAAAATGCATATATTGCCTTGCAACTCATAATTTAACAGGGTTTTGTGGCCACACCACCGACAAAGTACCAACTTGGATTCTGACAGGAGGCTAAAAACACCAAGTCTCAAAGAATCTTGTGTGCATGCTAAGGAAAAACAGAAACAGTATTTATACCTTGTATTAGGTATTTATTTCCACAAAAGTTTGATTCCTACAACATAAACCCAACAACCCACATGGAATTGGCTGTCCACACTTTCAGAAAGTACATTTACACATCTCTGCTTCTCAAAGCGGAATTCAGAACTGCCTTGCAATAAGCAACCTGGTGCCTGGAAATAAGGGAACCCTCAGGGTATGTTTGGCATATCAAAGATGGAGAATTACTTTACATTTAAATGTGAATGTATTGTGGAGTCAAATGTAAAATTTGCCAGAAATTCTGTTATGAAGAACAGAGCCCAGATCCATGCTACTGAGCAAATTACACTCCATTTGCTTTCAGGGTTATTGCCATGGAAAGGTACAGACCTACTGCATCCAGTGAAAACTGGTATGCTCAATTTGCATCACTGGACCCCCGCCCCTGGCTAACCAGCTCTTCTAATTAGCAAATGATTAAAGCCATGTGAACTTTCTTTTGTGCCAGTTATAACCAGGTGAAACCAGGGTCCTCATTACTTTCACAGTTAAGGTTTACACTCCAGTATGCACATACATGCATAATAAAGAAGGGACATTTGCAACTAATCATCCAAAGTAAACCCACCTTAAATACCAACCTATCCACAATATGATGTTTTTCTCTTGCTACTTTCCATATTTTAATCTCCTATGGCTCTTTTGCTTTTCTAGTAATGAGGGAAAACAAGAATTCCTACTTAAAGCCTTACAAGGTTCTTCAAGGCCATCCTGTGAAAAATAACCTATTTGAAAACTGCTCTGATGAACCTTAAAATATTGCTCTTTTATCTACATCACTAATCCCAATAGCCAAAAATGAGATTTATTGCATTTGGAGAGTCACTATTTTTTCACTTTGTATTCCTTTCACTCTATCTTATGTCAAACGTCTCCCCCATCAAATGTCCTAGTGGAGAATATCCTTTTTTCTGCAGTAACTCCATTTTAAAACACACTTGAACTTAATTCTTATTTAACAAGTAGTTTTTGTTCTTTCATAACTGGTTTTATAATAGACCTCCATTATCATAATTTAAGGACTATGCGAACTGTGTGACAATCAGAAATAAGATAGGTTCTACTAATAGATGCTATTATAAAACAACTCAGAAACTAAAGAAACAATCCCATTTCAACTCAAATTTTAATAACTATTCATTTCCATATCCCAAAGGTATAGATTACATCCCTCCCTATATACAAGCATTTTTTTTTTAACTTTACTTTTTCTAGGTTGCTAGAGAACATGTATTAGCCAGAGGTGAGGAAGATCCCCCCCCCCCCCCCCCGCAAAGTTGAGTGTGGTCACATCGCAAATCCTTTCCTCAGTTTCCTCATCCTGTCAGGATTTGGGCCATGCACACACGTGTCCAGTGTGCTTTTCAAGCTGCCATGGTTAGGACTCTGCTGTCAGCCATGTGGGATCTGGTTCCTTTAAGTACTAGGCTACAGGGCTGGCCTTATACTTTTAAATGTAAATTATACAATCAAAAATCTGAACTTAAGGAAAGTGGAGCATATGCTATTTCATCACAAGGAATGTGATCTTGTGATCTTTTCATAAAAAGTAGTTTTTAAAACAGGGACATTAGTTGTTGTTTTTTGCTTTTTTTTTTTTTTTATGATGTAGACTCAAGACCTCAACTTTATACTTCATTTCTAAAAACTGTACTCCAAGTAGAAAGGTGGGTCTTAGCTTTCTCAGTGGAAGAAAAGTATGCCAGCTGATTTTTTCTTGCTTTTTTTTTTTTTTTTTTTTTTTTTTTTTTTTTTTTTTTTAGGTTTTTGCCATAGGGCATGAGTGCTTGGTGGTGAAAGACAAGAAAATTGAGAAATGACCCCCAAGAGGGGTTGGCCATGCCACAATCCCTTCTCCTCCATTCTCCACTCAGGATTTTGGACAAGCACACACATGCACCCAGAATGATTTTCGAGCTACTGGGTCCGGGACTTGAACCATGGTTTCCCCCGGTTGGGAATCCAGCACTTTAACCACCATGCCACCTGCTAGCCCCTCAGTTGATTTTCTGAAAGTTAACTTACTCATGATTCTCTTAGAGGAAAACAATATTTATTGTGTAAAAGATTTATATTTATTAATTAAAGGCACAAACCAAAACTAAGACTAATAAAATTGACCATAATATTAACAATCGAGTCATATCAACCTGGAAAGGAAATACCAACTAAAGAAAATGAAGATGAAGTTCCATTAAATTCCTAAAGAAAAGAAAATCATTCCGACATGATTAAAGTAATCATTAGAACCTTTCAAAAAATAAGGAAAATAGAAACATCAGTATAAACACCTTAATTTGGAGGCAAAGAAATATAAATTGTAAAAATGAAACCTGATGTGTTGTAGAACACATTTGTATCTTTTAGTATTAGGTGCATGAGACCGAAGGCCTTACAGCATTACCACCATCTGGCACCCCTGATGGTCAATGACATCCAATGACTGACTGGAAGTAGACAATGTGGCTCGGCCTATCAGCAGAACACAGATTAATGAAACATTTTTACTTTCGCTGAAAATTATACAATCAAACCAAATAACCTTGGCTAGGAAGGCACCAGTTCAGAAAAATCTATTTTCTATCATACTACATCAATCGTAAAATCAGAGGGGTCCTTTTTTGCTGCAGTTTATGATACTACATCAAAACAGCAAATTCACAGAGCCTTTCAAAGACCCCATACTGTGAAAAATAAAAGTCAAGAGGAACACAATATTTCATTTTCAATTTACTAGCTCTTCCAGTGTTTCAGAGTGTTACAGGGTTTCAATGATCTAACGTGAATCGGACATAAAATGGGACATAAGGTTGAGTTAGAACAAATATCTTGATTGAATCAGACTATTGGGGTAGTTTCTTGGTCTATTGGTAAGTAGAGTCGTCAGTCCTCCATCCAGGCGATATTGTAGTTCACAGGGGGGAACCTAAGTGTCCTAAAATGAAAGAAAAAAAAAAACATTATGCTAGTGGTTGCCCAAATGTCAGTATCAAGTATTCACTTGTATGCATTCTAATCTATTCCCACCAATGAAAACCTTCCCATGTGTTCCTAGTCAGTGCCTCAATTAAAATGTGAAGGATGCCCTGGGGAATGATTCAGCCAACAACAGTTCTCATGATATTTTACTATCCAAATACTGAGGCTATTAAAACACACATTTCCCTTAAATCTAGTTCCTGGTTTGGCCTGATGAGTTTATGGCCCTATCAACCTAACAACCACCAAAAACATTTTTTTACCAAGAAAGGAACACTCTGAACCACTAATGAATAAGGCTGTGGTAAATGAAAACTAGGTAAAGGACTATGGAAAATGCTAATATGGGTCAAGAGCAGAGCACACTTGCCAGGGAACCTCATGAATTAGGTCACTATTGGGATTCCTTGTTTTCCTCTCTCTAGGTGAAAATATGCTTTTAGAAAGGGACCATTTATGATCTTTAGGCTGACATGTGTACATAAATATGTAAACTCAGAGGTACTTTTCTGTTGTATAATGAAGAGAGAATGCACTGACAAGCTATGGCTAAGTCATTGCCTTCTGGCCACCCCTTACACATAGAGCCCCAATCCCCCTATGCAGAGCTAACAATAGATTCGTATAGGCTACTGGACAAGACATTCTTGGCAAACTCAGTGCATGCATCACAAGCACAGAATGTAGTAAATATCAACACTAACAAAACTGAGAGCCAAAATGAACACACCTTACAGTTGGAGAGGAATAAATCCGCAGATTAGATGGTTACACTATCTCATACTGGTTATTTGTTATGGCACGGGAGAGGCAGTAGGCTAGAACGATTCCAATCAGCTAGAAATAAAATATGAACAAAATTAAACACAAACACAAAAGAGCTTGAAGATCTCAGGATATAAATATATTCTCCTTTTGATTGTAATTCACTAATAATTTCTTTCCTTGAATTTATCTAGACAGTTATAGTTGATATTCTGCAGCATCTAGATCATATCCAAAGAATGTAAGTGAAGTTTAGTACAACTATGACCCAGAATTTCACAATTATGACTAAGGAAAATTCATGAGTCACAGTTTTGAAGAAAATTTTCTTACCCTCAGTTATCAGGAAAAAAAATTAGGATATGGCTTAGAATAAGCATCTTATCAAGTAAAATTTCCATCTATTTGAGCACAGATTTTCTAGGAAAGATCTAGAGCAATGCTGCAATAATGGAAACGTTCTAGAATCTCTGTGCTGTCCCACGAGCACTTCAGATAGGGCTAAAGTAACTGAAGTCTTAATTTTACTTATTAGATCCTTTCAAAGGTGGCTAGTGGCTATTATATTTATAGAGATTTAAACATAGCTTCCCTCGCTACTTCATAAACATATCAAGACTAACATTGGATTAGTCTTATTTCTACAATATTTAATATAAGATAAAAAACTATGGGGACCAGCAGTTGGCGTAATGGCTATGTCGCTGGACTCCCAGGTAGCTGACCGTGGTTCAAGTCCTGGACCTGGTGGCTTAAACTCACACCGGGCACGTGTGCGTCCGTGCCCAAGATCCCAAGAGGAGAATGGAGGAGAAGGGATTGTGGCGTGGTCATCCCCCCTGGGGGGTGATTTCTCGCTTTCCCTCTCTCTCTGTCTCTCTGTCTTTCTGGCAAGTGCATGCGCCCTATAGCAAAAAAACTCTCAAAAAAAAGATTAAAAAAAAGCCCTGAAAAAATTGTTTATAACTACAATATAAATTTTTGATATGACTGATCACAGTAAAGAAATGTATAAATGGGAATAAAAATTTATGTATAAATGGGAATAAAATTTTAGAGAGCACTACAGTTGGGGTAAACAGTGTAGTACAACTTAAGATCTAAGTGTTCAAAAAACTAAAATGAAAACAGCAAAAAATTCCCCTCAATATCCCTCCGCCAAATAAAACAAACCTAAATAAAGACCCAATCACAAATCAAAATCAACATAACATACACAAGGTAAGTTCTATCAAAGACTGTACCATAAGAAAATAATTTCTACACTATGAGTAATAATGAAAAGTTCTACAAAAATGTGACCTCTTTAAATCCCCTCACTATCCAGGCCCCTGAGCCTTAAAGGTGAAAACCTTCTAGCTTACACCTACGAGATGGTTGAAACATTTCCTAAATAACTATAAGGACTTACCTGGAAGCAAGCAACTCCAAAAGAAATTCCGGCAACAACTCCCATTTCTGACTCTATAATGGTCATCACCTTTATAAAACAACCCTAAAAAGAAAGGGAAAAAAACAATAAGAATAACACAAGCAATCTGTGCTTTTACTTCATAGTAATAGATACTTTGACCATATACTTCTACAGCTATCATTAGCCTTTGATTGTCATTTCATTAAAATCTATTTTCTTTCAATATGCTCTCCACAACTATTTTTACCTTTTGGATGATGCATTTAAAGAATGACTTGCTAGCTGTGTGAACTCAAATCACAAATGTTCTGAGCTTCAGAAAATACGTGGCTTACTTCAGCTTATGTGTATTAATAAGAGTAGACATTAAAAACTGAACTGACTCTGCATTTAATGAAAATTTCAAATACTGTCAAACAGTTTTAAAAGGCTCCTTACTTCATTGTTTACTTTATCTGCATCTCTTTCGGGAGAACAATCTTCAAGCTTACAGCAACTTTTGGGAAATCCTTTTTCTGAGTAATAATTAGTATCTTTCCAATCTGTATAATCGGTGACACCACAACAATGTAACTGAAAAAGAAAAAAAAAAAAGCACAACAAAAGCATTTAAAATTCACATTATAACTTTGAAGTCAAACGTTTAACCTAACATCTTCTATTACAAGTTCTTATACTCAGTGATCCTCAATTGACTGAAGAGAATAGCGCTTGGCTCTAACATCATACATGACAGTTTTGAATTGGCCTCACTTTTCTGCTGTAGTTGGTACTATCAGTATTTGGTATATGATGTGAGGGAGGACGAGAGAACAGTGCACAAGTGAGAATAACGATTAAGAGAAAATGTAGGAACCAGCAGTTGGCATAATGGCTGTGTCGCTGAACTCCCATGTAGCCGACTGCGGTTCGAGTCCTGGACCCGGTGGCTTAAACTCACGCCAGGCGCATGTGCATGCTCTCTCCAATAAATAAATAAATAAATAAATAAATAAATAAATAAATAAATAAAATAATTTAAAAAAAGAGAGAAAACGTAAATATGGTACTTAGGGTCAGCCCACGCTTCTTTCCTATGCAAGTGGACATCTAGTAGCCAGGCTCTATTCTTTTATCTATGAGGTCACAAAGAATGTATTTCCCCCCTTAGGAAGTCACTTACTGTATTTTGAATCTTGTCTACTGCATGGCTTCTATAATCTCCCGTAGAGTTATATTGTTTCAAAGCCTTCTCATAGTTATTCTTAAAGCTGTTCTTAATCTACAAAAAAGAAACAATACCAATAAACAAATATTCTAGGAAGTCCTTTTGGTTTTGAGATCAAATATGAAATTGTCCCATATGAACAATGGTCTTATCTTTGACAGTGGCAATATGAATGGTGATAACTTCCAAGATCCAACCCTGTCCTCTAAGAGATCCAGTTTAGTTGAGGGGATTACTAGGCAAGACATTGCAATCTAAGATAAATACCACAAGTTCAAAGTGGTATGGAAGCATCTATTTATTCAGGTAGCAGTGTTGTGCCACGTAGTCCACTCCCCTACATCTTTCTCTACTTTGAACTGAGTACAAATTTGATGCTTATGAAATAGTTTAGCTACAAAATCTTACTTAGGGAGACTCCCCACCACCACGTTGTAAAACGCTTTCACTACTCACTGAATGATTTCTTAACTACCCCAGGTTTACCTGATTTCTAAATCATTATTAAACTTTTCACGATTTGTGTTAAGCATATTCAATCTTTTCAGAATGCATAGTATAAGTGGAAAAGGCATCAATTTTGTGCTTTAAGTATTTCCTAGCAGTAAAGTTATAAATCCTACTATCTCCACTTTAGTAGGTAATTATACACAGAAAAATGACTGGGAATATGTGTAATTATGGGTACCTTTAATTGTCTGCTGGTGACTGTCCGTCCTTACAATAGTCTAAATTTTCTTTGGGGCCAGAATTTTTACAAGAAAGCCATCATTGTCAGGTATAGGTTGAAAAGTAAGCTCTAAATACAGTTGTGATTTTTTAAAACTATAAAGTTGTCTAACTCTGCTACTTAAATTAATCCATTTTTTATCTCCTAGAAAATAAATTTCAATATATTAAGGTTCCTTAATTCAGGTATACCTCATGTCTGAAAACAAATCCTACGATGGCAGCGACCAGTTCAACCAAAAAAACGAGAGTCAGAAACATTGCATACTGCGGGGTAAAAAGAAAACCAAGTCAGCATTAGTAAGATATATCACACCTGCAAAGGAAGTCAAACGAGGGGAAAAGGTTTGCTCAATCAGTTCAACATGTTTTTACTGAAAAGGGCAGGGAAAACAATAATAGAATGTCTATTTTGCGGGAACTGGCAGCTGAACTCTTTCTTCCTTACCAAGTAACAGTTCAGTACTTGGTAAGGAACAGGAAAAATTGTAAAGGGCCAAGGCCAGTTCCAAGAAACAAAGCCCACAGCTAAGGAATCCCGAGTCTAAGAAAAACAAGGACTCACCAGTTTTAGCATCCATGCAGAAGCTCGGCAGGTAGCAAAACAGCCAAAGGTGCCCAAAAGAATAATGACAGTGCCAGTGCCAATGAGCACAAAGGGGACATTGGTGGCCTTCTCATTTAAAAGAGAGAAATAATTCTCCAGGCTCACCTTGCCCCAAATGCCAACAGCAAGAAGGATAACACCAGTAATCTACGTGGGAAATCAGAAAACGGAAACAGTTATGCATCGCCTACAACAGCATCTTCAAATCACAAACCTCAAGGTTTTTAAGACACAATAGGTGTGAAATTGACTTAGCAGACAGAAAAGAGGGTAAAGAGTGAGGGAAGGAGGGAGGAGATCTGCACGCAAGGATGCACTGTGAACAAGGCATCTTCTGGAAATTCTTAAATTCATCTTTTTATGGGTAAGCACTAGGGATCAAATCTTAACTGTTCTACTCCCACCTTAGGAAGAAGACCTTCCTGAAAGGAAGAAAAAGGGAGTTACCATGAGTTCCAGAAACTTCCCTTGGTCCCCCCCTTCCCAGTTTAGGGATGAGCGCTGGGTACAAAGGGATGGTACACAAAAGAAAACCCAAGGGGGAGATCGGCGGGAGTTGGAGCTGTACCATACTTACCTGCCCAACACTTCCCTCTTAGGAAGCAGTGAAAAGAAAGACACTATTATGCAAGCGAGCCCACATAGGGGCCGGGCAAGCCTCGCTTCTCCAACGGTCCGGGGACACCCTCCGCGCGCTCTGGGGGCTTAACTCCCTTCCTGGCCTCCTGCATCGCATCGAACTCGAACGTTAGGGCACCTCTGGGTCCCAGCTCTGCTCTGCGGGTCGACTACTGTTGTCCCGCACCCCAACCCCGACGCCGGCGCGATGCACGAGCTCCGGGCTCCGGCACCAGCCGCTGGTCGCTGGCGCCGTGCTCCCCGTGGCGACCACGTCCTCACTCCGTACCTGAGCTCCCTAGGCTCACGGTCACACCCCCAACCCCCAAGTCCGGGATCCCCTGCTGTCCCTGGGTACCTCCGTTTCTCACCCAGAAGATGAAAGTGTAGATCAACAGGACGCTCTTGAAACAAGTAATGACTGGCTTCGTCTGGAGTCTCCGAGACGGGGACGCCATGACTAGCCCGAGACCCTGCACCACCGCACGGGGCGATCTGAACAGAGCAAGCCAGTCGCGTCCCCGAGTCTCCCCGGAAACTGCCGAAAACTTACGAGCGTCTACAACTGAGAAAAGCCGGAAACACTGTACAATTTCTAAAGGGTAAAGTCCAGGAGGCTGTCCGGAAAATGGCGACAATTTCCGAGCGCCCCCTGCCGAAGGTTACCAAAAGCTATATACAAAGGTTCTAGTGTCGGAAATTTCATAGGTCTTCAAGTGGAGCTTTCTTCATTTTTTTTTCTTTCGCAAAGAATCTTTCCCGCCCCCTACCCCTCCCCCGCCCTTATTACTTTATCATACTATTTTATCACCAGCAGCGCCCGCAGCGCTCTGAGATTCGGCCTCTCCGGCCCCTGGTGCCCTAGAAGGGAGGAAAAAAAATGAAAAAAGGTTAAAAGTGACTTGGTAATATGCTATTACATAGGAAAATACCCACAGAAATATATTTCTTAAGAGAAACAAAGCGGGTTGCAAAGCACTACGTACAGTCACATGCGTTTAGACAAAAACTGAAAGGAAAAGTGAAATTTACCTCTAAGTGGTAAAATTGGACGGATTTTTTTTTCTTGTTTGTTTTGTGCTTTTTACTTTGTGAACATTGTTTCTTGGAGTGGAGAGGGGAGATAATAATGAATTGAGGGAAATCATCACCACTTGTGAAAAGAATTCCAAAACTAGGTATTAAATT